ATCATCATCATCATCATCATTTAATAACTTATTAATCGCCCTCCATCCGAGAATGCTCCAGGCGATTTTTCAGCTAAATTACAAAAGATAAAATACATACATACAAAAATTAAAAATCAACAGAGATCGAATGCTCTAGTAAAAAGCCAGGTCTTAAGTGCAAGAGTAAAAGGCCCTAAGTCATTCATGGCTCTCATGTAGGGCGGCAAGGAATTCCACACGGCAGGGGCAGAAATAGAAAAAGCCCATCTGCGCCTGGTCCTTTCCAAGTGCACTTCTCTAGGACTCGGTTTATTTATTTATTTACTTTACTTTACTTATATACCGCTGTTCTCAGCCCGAAGGCGACTCACAGCGGTTCACAACCAACAAAAACAGCAGAAATTCAATGTCAGATATAAAACAGTTAACAATCCCGCGCAGCACACAATTAATAAACACTTATTACAATAAATTATTACAATATATGGAGTAAGTCGCGTTGGGCTGGTCGTTGGGACCTCCGATGATGGGAGAAGGAGAGGTGGTCCCTAAGGTACGATGGACCTTGGCCGTAAAGAGTTTTAAAGGTCAGAACTAGCATCTTATACAGACCACAGTACTCAGTTGGAAGCCAATGTAAATGTTGCAGCACTGGTGTTATATGGCATTTCATGGGCGTTCTTGTGAGTAACCTGGCTGCCGCATTCTGAACAATACGGAGCTTTCGGGTCATAGACATCGGAAGGCCCACATACAGGGCGTTGCAATAGTCCAGCCTAGACGTGACCGTGGCGTGGATGACAGTTGCCAGAGCCTCGTCAGATAGACAGGGTGCCAGTTGCCTCGCTTGTCGTAGATGGAAAAAGGCCTGTTTGCTGGCAGCAGCGACCTGAGCTTCCATTGTATCAGGCACATGCACACACACCTTTACCAGCAAAGGGAGTGGGAGTACTCAATTTGGTACGGCTGCTCGGGGCCCACTTCTCCCCAAACCGACTCCGTCCTGCACTGTTGGAGCTGCCAGCAATGTACACAGAGGCCTCACAACCAGTAGCACAGCTCCGTCCTTCCTTCCCTTTTGGCAATGAGGA